CAGCCCTCGCCCATCCTGCAGCTGCAGCAGAAGCAGAGCCGGATCAGCCCCATTCAGAAGCCGCAAGGCCTGGACCCCGTGGAGATTCTGCAGGAGCGGGAATATAGGTAATGCACCGGGCCCGGGAGGGGGAGGCTGTGTTCTTGCAAGGACCAAGCCTGGGGGTGGGAGCAGTGTCTCCTACGGTTCTGGTTGTGCCTTTCTATGGGGTGAGGGAAGGGCCTAAGGAAGATTGCAGAGGCCAAAACTCATGCAATGAGAATGATTTCAGAACAGAGTTGCAGAGAAGTTTGTTTCCCATTGGGGTTGGGGAGGTGCTGGAGGTGACTCTCTTAGGGCTCTGGGTTGGCAGGACTGTGATTTTTAGTCATTTAATCAAAAAACTTTTACTAACCCCTATGACATGCCAGGCACTGTGTTAGGCACTGGGGTATGTGAAGATCACAGACCCAGCCTGGTGTTCCTGTGGATCCTAGAAAGTGGTCATCTCTCGTGTAGATTATGTGGTGCCTGATACAGTTTGTCAGCTTGCCCTTGACTGTGACTGAGCTGGTCAGATGTTGAGTGTTTTTTGTCCACCTGACCTTCAGGTTAACGACACATCTCATGCTACTAAAGCCCACTTCAGAAACTTGGTATAATATATTTTTTGTTTAAATTCACTCATGTTTTTTGGTCTATGCCTTGGTCAAACTTTAGGCTTAAGCCCTATGGAAGTACCTTCATATATACTCTTCCTCCAGTAACTTAATTTTCTCCTGATTTGGCACATTTATCTAACTCCGGTTGGCAAACATTTTCTGTAAAGGGCCAGGTAGTAAAATGTTTTACGCTTTGTGGGGCCATATGGTCTCTTTCACTACTACTCAGCCCTGCCCTTTGAGTGAGAAAGCAGCCATAGATGATAATGGGCTGGCTGTGTTCCAATAAAGCTTTATTTACAAAAACAGGCTGTGGGCAGGATTTGGCCCACAGGCTATAGTTAGCGGACCCCTTATGGAAATGGTTAATGTTAACCAAAAAGGGAGCCTAATAAGTATTGAGTCAAGATTAAGGCAAAGCTAAGATCGTGGTTCCTGGAGTTAGAAAGCATGCTCTGTCACTTACTAGCTGTGTTACCTTGGTCTAGTTCTGTCTCTTTTCTGTGACTCAATTTCCTCATTTGTTAAAAGAAGGTATTAGAGCATTTCTTGTGGGGGGAGATAAAATGACACAAAGACGTTTAATACATAATTAGCTATTACTACTATTTCCCCCAAAATCATTTAATTTAAAAGAAAACTAGAGTATAAAAACTATAGGGAATGTTAGTAACAATGTGTAGGCTCCCTTTTAAAACATTACCTTAAACTTTATTAAAAAATACATGACTTACTGCTAGATTTGGATACTAAGCTATCAGCTTTGAGAGTTATTCTGAAAAAAACCCACAGTAACTTGCAGTTAAATGAGTGCAGTTTTTTGGATGAAGAGTGTAACTGTAGTCTCATTATTATTTCTAATCCTCAATTAAGAGCTTTTATGTTGCTGCTTGCAGCATTTCATGTATCCCTAGAGAGCTAGATACTCACCATCAATTGATATTTTAATGTTGATAGGCTGGTTTTTCTGAGTGAATAATGGCTGTGTATTCTAAAGTCAAATATTAGCAACTATTTCTTGGACAGAAAAACTATTTATATGCAGTCCTTTATGTTGCTATAAAAAGTCAGAAGTATTTTTTAAATGACAGTAAATGGGATGGAGACTATCGTTTAGTTACTCTAAAATTGTGACTCCCTAAGAGCGACCATTGTTTTCCTTCCCTGAAGACACAACGCTACCAGTACCTTAGTTAAGTTATGTGAGTTACCCTTGTGACATCATAGACACTCTCTGTACCTAGAAATACATCTGCGATTTTTTTCTTTATTCAGCCCATGTTGTGTTTTGCATGTGTGTGTATGTATTTTACTAACTCCTAAATTTTCTTTAATCATTTTCACTAGAATTTTAATTACAGGCCCTTCTTGTACTGAGCTCATTTTAGCACCCTTTTTGGAAGTGATCTTAATGAATGGTCTCTCCCAAACTATACAGTATTAAGTAGTGCTATTTAGCCTGTTCCAGTGCATGAAAAGCTTTTGTCCTTCACTCCTCCAGTAAAAAATAAAAGTGTATCTGTCAGTGTGTTTTAAACCATACTCATTGTAGAATGTGATGGAAGGGCTGTTTTTCATATTATTATTACTTTATAAATATCTCCTTGTTTGTAAAGCTGCGTGGCTTTTGAAATGATTGGTCTGGCAACGCTGGGTCCAAAAAGCTGGTAGGTCCTTTGGACCGAGTTTCCCATAGCCATCCTGAGAAGGAGCACAGGTCTGCACCAGCTGCATTGCAGGGGCATCTTCTATCTTCTTTATAGAGCAACAGCTGGCTTCTGCCTATATGAAGATACATTGTTCAGTTGCTGAGATTAGTTAGATTTATCCCTTAAAAGGGTTAGATTAAGTCCCTTAGGCACTTGTAAAGAGCTAAGAGACGTTTCTGTTTGCTCCTCTTTGAGAGAATGGCCTACTTAGCCTGTAGCATCGGTAAGTGGAAGGGTCCGGTGTATCTCTACCTTCTGATCAAGGATTTGAGCAAAGTCTTTAAAAAAATCTCTTTTACAGTTTCATAAACCTAGTTTGAGCTAAGTCATCTGTCAGAAATTCTTTAACAGATGTTCATTTCTTTGACCGTTGTAATATCACCTTGTCAATGAAAATTGAAAGGAAATTGTCAGAATCTTACTTTTTTTTTAACGTTAAGTACCTTGGCCGCTTTTCCTTGTTCATCATAAACCCAAGTTTTTGACAAATTGGCCTCCTTTACTTAGAAATAGCATAAATAAGTTTATGCATATGAATATTTTGCCTCAGATCTGTACAAAGTCTCCAGCTAAAACACTGTTTTCCCATTTAAATTGGATCCTTTCCCTTTGAACCTCTCTCTTATGATGGAACTTTATTGTTTTTCTCTGTAGTGTCAGAGAGTTAGTCCCAGGGCTTTTTGTGGGGGTGTGTCTTGCCTTTTTGGCATGCTTTCTTTGCCCCATCAGTATACCTAACTTCAATTCTTCCATTGAGAGTCAGATGTTTGGGCAAAAGGGCTCCAGGCATTTCACGTTAGCACGTAAACTAATTCCGCAAATGTTTGCATGGGCCATGTATTTCTGATCCAAAGGAGGAGTTTCTCTGTGTTCTGTCAGCTCTCTGCTATGAAGTCAGAATTTCTTCTGAAAACAGTGAAGCATCCTCCTTGCTTCGGGAAGCAAACATAGTCTGTGTTTTTGGGGTTTTGTTTTTTTGGGTATTTTTTTTTTTTTGTCGTGCTCTGGTATCCATTGCAACCCTGAAAATTCCTTCTGAAAAATTACCAAGGGCCACTTTATCAGCAGAGTTACAAAAAGTCGGTCTCCCTCCCTCTCTCTTTTTAAAAGTGTCACTCAGCTCCTTGAAGGAACAAAATGTACCAGTGTCATTTTCTGTTCAAATAACTCTCCTGCAGGAATCATAAACTTCTCCTCTGGACCTGAACAAATATCTGTTGCCTTTAATGGAACTCTTTTTCTTGCCAGAACAGTCACCCCTCTTGATTTACTGTTCAATCTGTATGAAAAACTTGAGTGACCTAATTCTGCTTCAATTTTCTGAGCTCGTGAGGACACTAAATGAGTCTCCTGCAGTCATGCAGTATTACAGCTGTTGTTGTTTCGACAAGTTTAGAATCCTGAATCTCTTTATCGGGCTACCTGCTGAATCCCATTGATAGGAAGATGAAATTGTCGGGAGAGAAGCATTATTTAAAAATGAAGATTTCTATTAACCACCACCACCACAAAAAGATAAAATTTTCTGTGTTAAAGAAGCCCCTCCTGTACCTTTGTCCCCACCCCCACCTCCCATGTGCTGAATTGAATGCATATAATTTCACTATGGAAACTGCCCTTCCCTTCTCCTATAGTTTGTATTTTTGTACTTTGTACTTCTTGCCTCCCTTACATAAAAGAGAGAGTCTTTCGTGCTGGGAATCTGGGATTCACTGACAAATTACTAGGCCCTTTGGAGAAGGAGTCATTTCAGGAAGTAGTCGTTCCCCCCCACCCCAGCTCCTCAGCCACTTTAATGCCCCAGTCACCCAAGGCTGCATCCACCCTCAGTCCCTACCTCCCTTCTTCCCTTCCCCACTCCCCAACTCCCACCCACCCAGTTCAGTGTGATTTAATCTCTGCATTGTCAGTCCAGCTGTCCTAAGATTATTTATGTAGTCCTTTAGAAGATTAGGGAAAAGCAGCTATTCCTTTAGTTTAGCACCTGACCCACTTTGTCAAAGAGAGTTAACCAGAATACCAAGGGACAGTTTGGGTTCAAATGAAAAAGGCCTGCAATGACTCTAGAACCAAGGAAGTAGAATAACCATGTCGTTGGCCCTCGTCTCAGCCCACTGTAATACTTAATTTTCCTTTCACTGTGGCCTTATTCTACAAAAGTGAAATTGTTTCAGCTTAGGTGTTTTCCTTTAAATTACATATTTGAAAAAATCCACAATAGATTTTTCTCTTAATATCTTTTTTTGTTTGTTTGTTTTAATATATATTGATTTCAGAGAGAGGAAGGGAGAGGGAGAGAGAGCTAGAAACATCAATGATGAGAGAGTCATTGATCGGCTGCCTCCTGCACACCCTCTTCTGGGGATGGAGCCTGCAATCTGGGCATGTGCCCTCACCAGGAATCGAACCACGATCTCCTGGATCCTAGGTGGACGCTCAACTGCTGAGCCACACCTGGCCGGGCTCTCTTTATATCTTAATTGTTAAGATGCGTCATCTGTTGCTTTGTTTGGAGATTTGGGGCTTTGGGGCTATTTAAGAAATAGAAGAAGTTGGGAGAGTTTAAACAATTTGACCGAAAAGAATAATATGATAAAAGTTTATTGTTATTAGAACTAACAAATTTTTAATCTGCTACATGGTTATACTATTTAATGATGTTATTGTTTGTGTTGGTGTGCATAGTTGAAATAATACCTGATAACAGTGATAATATAATAATGCATTGTGATGATAAATAATTCAGTAAATCAAAATTAATAACCAAATGTACATACCATATAAAGTAGAAATTTGTCATAATGTTATTTTTAGTGAAGTCAGTTAAAAACAACACATTTCCTTTACTCTCATTTTTAAAATTTGGAAAAAGAGGATATTTTATTTCTCTACCAAAGCAAACAACTCTGTGTTTTTAAAAACAAACAAAAAAACCTGATCATTTTGATATTTGGGCTAAATGAAATCTTAAGATATTTTGCAGCATCTAAGTCACAGGTTTTACTTTTTCATATTAATAATTATACATCATTGTAAAGGTTGATGAGACCATAATACCAATTTTTAATAGAATCTTTAATTATCAACATTTGTAGTTGAGCTCCAGGAAGGTTCTCAGTTAGAAAGTCTATTTTAATTATCCTGTAGTGGTTTTGGTGTCAGGCAAAGGAGGTTCACTCTAGAGTCCCTCCTTTATTAGCTCTGTGAAGTCAATGTGTTTCTTAATATTGCCGAGCTTCTATGTTCTCATCAGTAATAGCACATTATACCTTGTAAGTGTAGGGGTATCTGGGGGGGGGGTGAAGAGAGAGAGAGAGAGAGAGAGAGAATATTAAATAAAACGGTGCATTAAATGTACTTAACTCAGTGCAGGTAATGTTAACTTAGTTTAACTTACTTCCTTTTTTATTACTATTCTTTCTTTGTTGAAGTCTCTTCCAAGACAGTTTGCCCCAAATTTTGGGAGATAGTTCTAAAAATAGATTTAAATGACATGTAATTATTTGTAAAAAAAGGATCCCAGTGAACTCTAAAACCAGGAGTTTCTATGGGTAACAGTAATGGTATCCCAAATGAATGAAGAAATTGGGATGTCTTCTATTTTCTACTAGGAGGAACTACCTGCAGTTATATTTTTGATGGTGTCTAAAATGAGAATCCCTAAGAATCCTTTTCTAGAAGCTCTCAGTTTTTAAATACTGTTTACTTTGCTATTTGCTGCTGCCCCAAACCTGATTTTTTTTAAATGCCAAATTTGCCTTTTCTTCCCCACCCCCGGCAAGCATTGCTCACAGAGGAAATGGCTGTGGTTGGCAGGGCTCTCTCTGAATGTTTTGGGTTGACCAATTTCTGGGGCTTCAGCACCTACAAGTGCTCTTGTTCACTCAGCTTTAAAGGCCGTCATCATCAGCATCTTGGCAAGGAGGGCAGATGGCCCCGTTGCCTCAGGACAGAACCAGAAGTTAGAAAGAAAACTCAGTTGTTTCAGCCCTGCCTAATGGCTGGCTGGGCATTTGGGAGCAAGTCACATTTTCCTGCCTCTCATTTTCTGTCCCTGTTCAGAGCCAGCAATGCACTTGACGTTCCTCCTACACGTATCATGAGCCTCCTTTCCTGGGTGTTAGAGAAAGGTTATGTACAAGACCAGAGTGTTAAGCAACATATAGCACCTGTCTGCATTAATGCAAGGGCAGCTTTTCTCTGTTTAACATCAGAAAATCTAGTTGGATGTCAGGAATCAACTGTGAGTGTCTGGAATAGGTTTTGCCATGAACTTGAACCTAATGTTATTGTTTATCATTTAAGACTGAACTGTAATGTATATTTCCACCTCTCCCGCCCCTATTTTATTATCTCCTTTAGACTTCAAGCTCGCATAGCTCACAGGATACAAGAACTGGAAAATCTGCCTGGCTCTTTGCCACCAGATTTACGAACCAAAGCAACCGTGGAACTGAAAGCACTTCGGTTACTCAATTTCCAACGTCAGGTAATACCTTTTCCCCAGCAAATCTGAGACGTAGGAAATAAATGTAATTGTTCGAGATCAGTGTGTTTCCTTAAGTCTGTTCAGTATTGTTATAAAGATAGAAACTTAGTAACATAGTGTATCTTTTAGACCAGCAGCAGAGAGCTAAAAGTACTGATGAGGAACTGTTTGTTATTGTTTTTCCCTTCTGTGTATCAGAGACATTTTTTCCTCTTGCATTATGGTTTACAAAGTCAGAGTTAAGACAGTTTTTGTTACCCTGGATGAAACCTTGAGAACAAATGAGATAGCTCATGTTTGCCTTTATGGCTCCAAAGGAAAACAGTCAGGTGGTAGACCAGAGCTTCTTTATAAACACAAATGTACAATCCTAGCCATGACCGTGAAAATATTTTAAGGAAGACCATAGCCACTCTACTAAATTAATAGTTCATCATTTACAGAAATACATAAACCTATGTTTCATAACTGTTTGATAATTCATCACAACACAAGTTTGGCACATTCGATCATGTCAGACCTACATATTGAATAACCAGTGAATTATTATCTATTGTTCCCACTATGGTTCATAGTAGTCACTGATTAATAAAAGCTAGCATAATGATCTGTTTTAGAATTGCTAAATCAGTAGGTAACTAGTGGAATGAAATAGAGCTAATTTTCACTTTGGTGAGTTTTTGTCTTATGGATCGGAAAGGTGTAGGTCTCGTGTTCTGCACGCTGCCTCATTTAGCCAAACGGGGAAAGGAGCACGTTGCCGTCAGTCAGAGGGGTTTGCTTGGTTAAGGTCCTGGGGCATGCAAAATGAATTATTAATGAACGAAAGTAGTTTGGAAGTACTGAATTGCATGACTTGGTCTGTTGGAGGATGTGATTAAAATCACAAGGCCACCTCACTTGCTGTTGTCGTATGACCGTGGGAGTACATTTACCTTTTTGGTTATAATATCAGAAGAGGGCATCAGTGTGACTGGGTGCTACTTGGCCATAGGTTTGTGAGAGTAGATTAGAGCTTAAATTTTGAAAAAAGGAAAGGAAGAAAAACTCTCCGAGTTCTATTACTTTCTTCTTTTAGGTGACACCATAAAATGCATTGATAAAATGTTTGATAACATTTTGTTAAAAGAATATTACCCAAGTATATTTTTAGGAATAAGTTTATATTCAAATTAGCTTGACTATGCTAGATTCTTACTAGTCTCTGATTTTTGCTTAATATTGAAAAAATCTTTTATCTGTGAAATTCCCCGATGAAATTAACTGTAATTGATGCTGATTTCAGATTCAATTGAATTATTGTTTTAATGTATATTTTCAGTTCCCACCCCCTACCACCACGTAACATACAGTAGGGATAAGTTATTATATTTATGATCATCTAAAAGAAGTTCATGCTATAGTATAAACTTTGAGCATCTTGTAAACAAAATCATTGTTAACAGTGGGAGGAAGCCATCTCTTGTCTTTTATATGAGACTATGAGTTAACATTGAGTATCCGCTGCATTGGACAGGAACAGGAAGCAATCCTTTTGTTCATTTTGCAGAGCATCATTAAAGTACATCTTTAAACACGAGGAGCATGTTAGTATGACATTTAAAACAAAGCAAAAAATTTTAAATCTTACTAACTATTGGCATTGTTAGCATAATTAAATAGAATGAATGAATTTACTTAAAGGCGAGGACAATGTCTACTTTATTTTTTTTTCACTGTTACAGTGCTATCACTGCTTTTTTCCTGAATTATGTGGAAAGAGAAATTATACCATCTTTGGAAATACCACATAAACGTGGTACAAGTTAGTCCCTTCATTTACCACAAGGCCGGCTGTGATTGAGACGCCTGTAGCCTCGCCATTCCTCCCCACTCAGTGGAAACGAGGGGAGGGCAAGGGTCGGGGGGCTGGCCCCCGCTTGGGGAGCCTCTCTAACTGCCTTCCTCCTGACAGCTGAGACAGGAGGTGGTGGCCTGCATGCGACGGGACACGACCCTGGAGACGGCTCTCAACTCCAAAGCGTACAAGCGGAGCAAGCGCCAGACCCTGAGGGAAGCCCGCATGACAGAGAAACTGGAGAAGCAGCAGAAGATTGAGCAGGAGAGGAAGCGCCGGCAGAAGCACCAGGTACCTCGGCCTGGGCCCTGCGCCGCCCCGGCTGGCAGCCGGGCGGAGCCAGGGGGGCTGGGGCACCTGCCAGGGTGGGCGAGGGGGTGTCACCGACAGGCCTGGTCCTCGGAGCTCACCTGGCCTGGCCGCGCCATTTCATTTCGTAGTCAGGGAAACTTAGGCCAAGCCGGGTAAGTGGGCTTTCTTCCTTCCCGTCAGGGGCCACCGTCATAATCCCGTGGAAAGCTGCTGACTGGGTGGGATTCCTAGAGCAAAATCCTGGGGGACTTGGGAAAGGAAAGAAAAAAGCAGGAAAGCTATTTTTACAACACATACAAATACGGTATCCGGGGCTCCTTGAAGGCCCAGTTGGAGGTTTCACAGGGGCAGATATTTTAAAACATTCCTTTCTAGGGGTTTGGAAATATTTTGATGTAGGAATTGATTTTGTGTCATGATCCTATAACTTGTGTTTGTTTTTTGTGTGCTCAGTTTAGTGCCTAGCCTAGTTTAGTTTTTAAAAAGTGTTGGATTTTGTGTAAATAAGGGTACACTTCCCCTTCCTTTATTTAAACAATGTATACAAATTACATATGTAGATTTTAGCTCTCTATAAAATCTTGAGTCACAATTCTAAGATATTTAAAATTTTTTTAATTGCTTTTTTTAGGGAGAGAGAGAGAAACCTCGATTTGTTGTGCCACTTATTTCTGCATTCATTGGTTGATTCTTATATATGTCCTGACCGGGGATCAAACCTGCAGCCTTGGGGTATCAGGATGACACTCTCATCAACTGAGCTGCCCAGCCAGGGCTCTACGATACTTGGAGCAGAAGAAACATTACTTTTATAACATAATTCTCACTGGAAATACCCATGTCCTTCGGGTATATTTGAGAATAATTGGCCTTTAATTTTATCATTGCCACTTTGTAGATTTCTCTCCATTTCTGAGCTTTCCATTTTCATGCAGTCACACCCTCAAAGCTTCAGAATCTTCTCTTCCGCAGGCTGGCACCAAAATAAACCTTGAGAGCTCACCTTTCTCACCAGCCCCGTAGCCCACACTTCAGCTATGGAGACGCACCAGGGCACCTATCCCAGAACAGTCCCAGGTTTCCAGTCTTTGGATGCTGTTAAATACACACTGAGCATTTTCCTGGACCACACTGAAACCTCAAGCGCATTGGGAAACGGATTTTAAGTAATCTTTTCTCCCCCACTTGGGATCCTTTAGGAATACCTGAACAGCATTTTGCAACATGCAAAAGATTTTAAAGAGTACCATCGTTCTGTGGCTGGGAAGATCCAGAAGCTTTCCAAAGCGGTGGCGACTTGGCACGCCAACACCGAAAGGGAGCAGAAGAAGGAGACAGAGCGGATCGAAAAGGAGAGAATGCGCAGACTGATGGTAAGGAACCGAGGAGAACGCTTCTTTCAGAGCCTGCATTGAGAATGTTAAATATACCGTAGTGGACAGAGAAGGTAAAAGGTCCTTATAAAATACATGAATACTTTCCTTCAACTTGGTGGGGATGGAGTTCAAACATCCTCTCTTTCCTGGACAATGCGTGCCGCATGTCTTGGGTTTCAGCTGGTGGGTGTAGTATTCCCGTGTCCTAGCGTGGCATTGCTGCTCAGATTATAGCTCCTCACATAAAGGCAGGTACTGTATCTCTCGGGAGTTTTGATAACCAGATCTGGAAGGCTGGAAATGGCAGTTCTTTTAAAAATATTGCCTCTTTGAGACTAATGGCACTCGTTTTGAATGAGTATCTCATTATGTGTATCTTGGTATCTAAAGTCTCTCTTTTTTTTTTTGAAGACCTTGTCTTTTTTTTTTAATGGCAAAAATTTTTTCTCTACCAGTGTAAAAAGTGATTTTTAAGTTAATTTTGAAATGTTGCTTTTTTTGTTTGTAGCTGGGATCTTGTCAGAGGCAAGTCAGGGGTCATTATTTTTGCACTGTTATTTTTGAATGGATCTATATCACAGACAGGATTGGTTTATATCATTGGCTGTGTTTTTTTGTTTGTTTGGTTTTGTTTTTTGGATTATTTTGGAATTGGGCCTCATAGAACACCATGGACTTTACAAAAGTGTGTGTGATCTGTAATGATAAGAGACCTGCAAATTCTATCTGGGACGTAATTCCTGAGTATTGCATGAAGAAAAAGGCATTAGCCTCAGCCATAATTATGTCCTGGGAAAATTCCAAGTGATGGTGTCTTTCTTCCTTGCTGGTATTATGGTTTGCATTTTGTTTTCATTAATTTTGGGGGTCCCAGAGAGTAAACAGCATATTCTAAAAGGCTCTGTGTGTAGGTACTACTAAATCCTACCATCTTCTTCTGCCTCTCTCTCTCCCTTTTTTTGGGGGGGGGGAGGAAGACTGCCCAAGAAATGTCTAACTAGCTAGGGAGACTGTTTTATAGTAATTTGAGCAGTAAGCAGTCAAATTTGTCTGATTTAACTGAAGTGAAACTATATTAGCACTTCAGTAACAGATTGGTATGACACTAATGATTAGGCATTTGCAAATCATTAATTTTTGCAATTAAATGATGGAATATACAGATAACAGAGAAACTGAAGTTTTCTATCACTCTTTCTTCAAGTGAGATCAACCATAACGAAAAGCAATTAGAGTTATAATAGCATTTGAGGTTCATGCTCATCCATGGGGCAGAAAGCAGCCAGACTGAGGGATGAAACTGCTGTCACTCGGGCACAGGCCGGAGTGACACTCCTGGACGGAAGACGCCGAGCTTTTCTGTAATGCAGCTGCCTCGTGAAGATTTTGCAGCATGCTTCTTTTATCCTGCCTCACATGAGGAAAATATTTTTGAGGTGTCCTTTTATTGGGACATATAAAAAAGGTTTATCTTGAAATGGCTCAGAGTACATCAGAGTTTTTATTCTATTTAACCTCTAATATTGCTTAATGGGAAGTGGAGGTGGGAATTACTGTAACTGTTTTACTGCTCTGCAGTATCAGACTTCAGGTACTAAATGACTTGTCCCAGTCACCGAGGCCCATAACACAGTGCCAATTATGACAAAAATCCCCCAAATTTGACTTTCCCTGTCAATCGCAATGTTTGTAATGCTTTTAAGTATAAGAAGTTATTTGTTTAATGCCCACTTGATTTTTTGCCTTTAGAAGTACTGAAATATTTATGAATGAAAGGATATTATGTGTGGAATTTGCTTCAAGACAATCCATTTTGGGATTGAGGAGAGGAGTTCGGGGGAGAGGTAGTAATGAAGCAGGAGTCATCACAAGTTGATTTTTGTTGCTTGGTGTTGGTTATTATATGAGAGATTATTTTATTCTCTCCACTTTTGATTATATTTGAAAATTTCCAAAATACAGAGTTAAGAATAAACTTCAGATGGTGAATTGTCAGATTTTAACATTTTTTGTGCCGTTAAAGAAATACAGGCCCTTGTATTGATCCGCAATGCATCGGCCCTTTCCCTTCTCCAGGAAGTAAAATAAACTTTCTGTATGTCAAAAAAAGAAATACAGAAGAACAAAGAGTTGACTCACAGTGCTTGATCACACCATGTGTCCAGACTTTGCCGTGGACCCCGGTGTCCTGGGATGCGAGAACTCTTGCAACCTGGATCACTCAGTTTGCTGCGCTTACCACGAAAGTTCAGACTGTCAGGGGGCGGGATGGGTAGAAAAGGCACCTGCAGACTTGTTACGCTCTGACCCCGCTCTCCTTTCCTTAACAGGCTGAAGATGAAGAGGGCTACAGAAAACTGATTGACCAAAAGAAAGACAGGCGTTTAGCTTACCTTTTGCAGCAGACCGATGAGTATGTGGCCAACCTGACCAACCTGGTTTGGGAGCACAAGCAAGCCCAGGCGGCCAAGGAGAAGAAGAAGAGGCGGCGGAGGAGGAAGGTGAGCGCCCTCCTGGCGGCAGCTGGGCCGCGGACCAGTTTAAAGCGTGTATTGCCCTTTACTAAATGCACTCACCACGCTGACGCAAGGTTCAGGTGACTGGATTGCAAAACTTGCTCATAGAAATGGGTATGGTGAGAAGGAGTTGATTAGGCATACTGGGCGTGGGAGGTGAGAGCATAATGAACAGGATGTATTAAATAGAAGCAACGCAGTTCATATTCCCATTGTTTCATACAGTATTTAAAAACTAAATTACAGTCAAAAAGAAGAGGAAGAACACGGGCACCGTTAACTGTTTTCTTAAGTGCCATGAGGTGTGGCAGGGGACTGCTCAGTTAAGAAACTATGGAGTGAAAATTTAGGAGAAAATGCAGTGTACAGGTTGAAAGAAACCATAGAAAGATGTAAGAGATAGCCTTGGGATACTTTTGGCACAAATTTCAGCCCATTTATTTGGGCAGACAGTGACGCCAAAATTGTTCATTCAGGTCAGCAACCTTGTGTCACACTAAGGGATGGGTTTCAGGTGATTTTATGGAAAACAATAGCCTTAGGTAAAATGTCCTAATTGTCATGAGAAGAGAAGGGTAAGATTTAGAATTTCTGCTCTACAGACTTTATATCTCAGTTCAAGGGCAGCATGCTAGTGTAGGCCTGTGAATATAACTCTTCTTTGAAGCTTAAGTAGTCTGGTAACTTAGTTCTTGGTTGATGTTTTGTTTTCATGGTAAATTCTAATTGACCCTGGTATAAACAGGAAGGCTTCCTCAGAGTTGTGAAGGTTGAGGATGGGTAGCATTTAATCATTTACTCGCTGCACTGAATGATTGAACAAAATGTTTTTCCAAAACTAATTAATTTCATGGCTCCTGAATTCTCATACCTGTTTCATAACGAAGGAGGAGGAATACATGATTGAGAAGATGCCTTCTTGCTCCTGACCCCTGTAGTCTAAGACAGCTTCCCTTCTTGTGCAGATGAACGAGGGATGACTCAGGGCTTGGATTTAGACATTTCGTTGGTGAGGAATACCTCATTTTCCTGTCAAGGTTGCATTACAGGCTTTGCAAAATTCCAGCTCCCCATTTCTGACTTTAAGAGGCGTTTTCAGAGTTGGTGGAGAGCACACAGGCAAACAGATACAATTCTGTAACATTCCATAAGTGGATCCCATGAAGTGGCAGTTTTAGTTTTTCTGAATCTCCACATGTATTTTGCAGAGGTTGTCACAAAAGTCACTGCTAGTGTTTTTCGTATTCAAGTTTGTATCCTACATTTCTTTGCTATTGGCCCAAATTGGAGCTTCTGGCTTATAGTTAATAGATTCCTGCCATGGCATTGGATCGTTATATCATCATAGAAAGATGCACAATTGAGTGATGATGGTCCGGGCTTTATTTTTGTGTTAATCTGTACAGAGCAGGAACCTGTCATACTGTTTCATGGTGCTGGCAACTCTGATGACCTGTAGGTTGGCTCTCTACCTCCAGACGCTTGCCTGCAGGTTTGCTAGTAGCACTTACACTTTCTATTTCGTGCATTTGCTCAACAAATATTACTGAATACTTACTATGATGGAGGCACCATATGCCGGATGCTGGGAGAGAGAAAGAATATAAAGGTGAGAAAAAGCACTCTTGCCCTCTCTGTCAATTTAATCAGAGAGAGAGAAAGAAAGAGAGGGACAGATATTAATCAAATATGCATCTAAATATATAATTATAAACTGAGATGAATGATGTGAAGGAATACTGCAAGTCAGTAATTTCCCGATTTTTTGGCAAATGAATAATAATATCCAAGCATCTCCAGCCTGCCTAGTGTTGTCTCTGGGCACCGCCCGCTGCTCTCACATGGTTGAAGGTGCAGAATTATTACCGGATGACCTCTTCCTGGCGTGCTCTCAGGATGCCCAGCATTTGGGCCGTCCCTGCTCTCAGCAGGACTGAGGACAGGCTGTTTCCTTCCCTGGCCATCTTGCTAGGAGAAATGGGATATAAAGAAGGTAAGAAAGAAACCAGGCCCCTTCTCTTTCCTGAAAACTGTCTTTCATGGGGCTTTGAGACTGAGTTCAGAGTGAGTTATCCAATTCCAGACGCACGTTCAATAGTGCAAAGAAAACAGGTGCTTTCAGAAGCTGAGACTTGGACACTTTGGATTATCTGTAGTTGTTTCCTCCCTTAGAGTGAATGGTGGAGAGTCGCTTGTTGCAGTTTCTCTGTTGGGGGGGAAACTGCATCCGGAAGCTTACAAATTCTGTGCCGTCCCTTTCAGCATTTTCCCGTGGGCCTGAGCATTATACTGTACCTTACTGCATTTTTTTAATTAGGAAAGGTATCAATAAACCTTTGTTTTGAGAAAACCTTCTTTACCCAGTGAACTAGTAGCATGGACCTGGTAGCAACATTTGTAAGACAACTAAGATACAGATAACAGGAAGAGCTATGCTATTAAAATCCAGTGTGATTGACCTTGTGATGTAATTGCAAAAGCGTTACTTTTTACTTTGTGTTAAATTCAGTGTATAATTTTAAAAAAAAATAGCCCCAGTGTAACAGAAAAGGCCTTTGTTTTTCCCTATAGGGGAGTTTACTGTGTTTACTTGCTGTTGCTGAATAATAGAGTGGGGTTCCTTTAACCTGCCGTGACCTTGTTTAATTTCCCCTTCTCACCATTATAGCCATTTCAGTGAAGTATATCTTTATAAATCATTCCGAGACTTCTTCTCAGCCTGCTCTTACATTAATGCCCTTGAAATGGAAGAAAAAGAAGTAAACTGTGTGTATCTACTTAAGAGTTAGAGGAGCAATAATTGTTAAAGAATCGAAATATCTAATTATGTGGAGCCAGTCTCTGCAGTGGGGCAGGATGAATGAACGCACTATTATGTGCACTTAGCGTGACCTTGAGGTCTCCGTCCTTTGCCATGATTGTTCTCTCACATCTGCTGGGTGAGTACAGGATAAAATGGGGGCTGGGGCTAGATGAAGCCACTGGGGTATATACAAATAGGACTGGACAGGCTGAATTAGAAAATTGGACCACCATCCAAAAGATGTTAGCACACAATCTTTTAAATTCATAACTGTGTAAGAGAACATATCAGACTAATCTGCTCTTATTCCCTTATAGGGTATTTCATTAAAAGATCTGTTATCTAGCACCTCAGTCTCTTGATCTGTCAAAAGGTGATTTGATAGGGTTGAATGGGAAAGTTTATCTAAAGCATTTAGAATGTTTCCTGGCACACAGTAAGTACTCAGTAAATCTTAGGTATTTTATCAGGCCATTCCGTGGTATAAATGCGGGATTGTGATTGTTGAGATGTGGTTGTAGGTTTTTGGAAACAGAATCTCCTTTTCCCCCTTACCGCGCATTCTCTGTGAGGTTGAGTAAATAGCCACAGTTTTTTTCTGGTGGGGGATCCATCGAACATCGTCTTCGAGGATGATGACAGGTTCTTGGCCTACTGAGGCATGCAGTAAGAGAGGAAGGCTGATGCATTTCGGTGGGTGCTGCTTACTCCCCCTGCCCCAGCTCCTACAAAGATAATTTGTAATTACGTAGCCTCTAATTTAGAGTGGCTTCTGGTGATGCTAAGGCATTTCTCGCAGGTGTTTTAGGGTGTATTTTTCCTTAAGCTGTGGTTAGGAGCCCATGCCACCTGTGACCCGAACCTCCTGCTTAGAATTCTAGGCCTCTTACGGTTCCAGCTTCCTGAGCTGTGGACTTCGGGCTGGAAATAAATATTTAATTCCATCTTTCAAACCTTTCGATGGGGTGTAGATACCAGCAGAACTGTGTCCTTGTTGTGTACTTGTGACATTTCTTGGAAACCCGTGACACTAACAGGAACACCCTCAGAGAACCCATGGGGACCAGAATGCTGGGCCAGATCTTCCTCATTGTGGCATTTCCTTTTCTTTCTGATACTTATTCTCTCGCTCTTTCATCAACCACGAGTAGAAGTAAATCTCAGGACTGGGGCCTTTTGGAGGGGGAACCTTCCCAGCGTGATGTATTGATTAATGTAGTGATAGGAAAATTTGTTTCTTATCATTGTTGGATATCCAAAAGTCAGAAAAGCCTCTTGGTATAATGTTTGGTAAAAAGAGCATCCAATGCAAAGTAGTGATGTGGTTGAGACATTTGTTTTAAATTCAGGTTACTCTCCAGTTCTTCTCATTTCTCTTCTGTCTTATGTTTTCCCCAAAGATGATATAGTTTATTGAAGCTTTTCTCTACAAGGACGTTTTCGTAGGTAAAAGAGAGGTTCTTAAGTAATTCTGGGCATTTGAGTGCAGCGACTGTTGTAAAGATAGGAGAACACAAAGCCACGATGATTAGATTTATTTGATTAGTTCAGTGTCAGAATGGGTGAAAGCAGAAGTTTGGATCAAAGTCCTGCTTAACTGGATTGACCAGTTATTTGAGTCAAAATGTTAGAATTGGTTTTCTCTGCAAGGTACAACCAAAGCAATGTGCAATTGCCTGTTAATTTGATATTCTAGGGTATTTTTTTATTGCCTGATCCCCTATCTGAATGCTCAGAGGTCCACTTAAGTGACAGTAAAAATAACCCAGTGATTTCTGAAAGCTTAGGTTCCCATTGAAACAGAACAAGCCTTTAAGATGCCAGCACATTTGAATGTTGTTTCAGCATATTATAACAACACCTGCTGGGGCTAAAATGCATTTACTTTATGATATGGATTGTAAAATATTTGGTATAAAACTGTTTCTTTACAAAATGAGGCTGTTTGCGGCCTATGTTGTGGTAATCTAAATAAAGTGCCCCATTGTAGTCTGTTTTCTTGAGTTCAGCTTAAATGGGATTTTCATGTTTAGGGATTTCTTTCCCTCCTTGGCCCCGTCACTGATTATTTTAGATGGCTTCTGCAAGGAAAATGGGTAGCCACGCACACAGCTTTGTTCCTAAACATTTCTAAATGAAAGGTATGAACTGACTTTGGCTTTTGGAATTAGGAACCCAAATTGTGTTTAGTTAAGAGTAATTGGTTTCATATCCCCTCCCATGACTAGGTTAATTACACTCCGTTCTTCCTCCACAAGCATAATTAGTTCCAAACTTTTTGCAGGTCGTGAGAAGGCAGGACAAAGTTCCTTTAGTCCTAATTAATGGATGAACTTCAGTGTTTTGTTTTTAATCAGTGGAAGTAAGCTCAGCTCAGTAATATTGATAGGATGTGTTTGCAGTCACATGATTCAGATAACTATCCGTGAAAACTGCTCGGGCAGTGGGAGACCCGTAGCAGCTGCCGTCAGCACCGGCCATTTCCCCAGGCGCTCAGAGGCTGTCCAAAGTTAGCTCAAACCCTAGCACCCATCACAGTCTGTTTGGAGTTCATCTTGAACCTAAAAAAGGGAAGGTGTTTTTTTTGGAGGGGTGGAGGGAATAAAGTACCAGTTTGATGTGAGAACATGGATTAATGAAAGCACACCAACCAGAAACCTTCAAACTGAAAGAACCCGAAGCATGAGGGAAGAACTTGGTATCTCTTGCCATAGAGTAGACTGCACCTGGCTTCCATTCATATAACAACATAGCCGAATGGGGTGTAAGTACAGGGCATGCGAGAGAAGTCTCGTGGAGCTCCAGTTCAAGGAGGAATTGTGTATGTGTTCTTAACTATTTTGACTTGCACCTAATTACAATAATAATAGTATTTCACTAAGCATATGCATTGTTCTCTGTGTTTGCATTCATTCGCCAAATATTTATTTAGTGCCTTTTAAATGCCAGGTACTCTGGTAGGTGTGGGAATACATAAGTGAACAAAACAGACAGAAGTCCATGACCCTGTAATCTTACGAAGCAGTTTTCATACAGTGCTTTAGCAGCCTTATATAGAAAAAGAATAGCCCTTGGATTATTGTTGATTCTTTTACATTGTAGAGATTAACACTCGCAGTGTATATTAATTACATGTGACATTGGATTGTATACATCAAAATAGCGATCCAGTCCTGCCTGCAGCAGCCCTATGTGGTAGTAGGGACTGTTACTGTCCCTAGTTTCCAAAAGAAGGGGAACCAAGACACAAAAGATTGGCTCAAGGTCACACAGTGAAGGTCTCTTAGTGACACAGCTGGGATTCACATGCAGGTCCTCTAATTCCAGAACCAAGTTTCTTACATCTAATATTACATTGCTTGTCAAATTTGATACCTAGTGGAATTTTTTTTAAGTCAGTTGAGAGGATTTTAAGTAATGGGAAGGCCTGATTATGAGGCAGCTTTTAGATAACGCGCTTATAGCATATTCATAGAAAAGTATCCTTCAGAATAGCTTTGATTTTATTATTTATGGTGCTTTAAGCTTTTTAAGGTGCTATTCATTGAAATGGTGATCCAGTTCCACTAGCTAGCTATTGGAAATTGGCTTATTCATTGTCTCATTTGATTTTCTTTGTTGGCCAAATTGGTAGCTCATTTCTGATTTGTACGGAAAGAATGGTGGGATTAATTGACTTTCTCCCATTAATTAGTATAGTGCCTGAGAACTCCAAAAATGGAAAATCCAGGTGCTGGCAGCAGGGACGTTTCTTTTCTGAGCTTTTCTGCCATTGTTCGCTCTGTATTTCTAGCCTAGACAAAGGGCCCCCGTACCTTTCGATACTGATCATTTCTTTTGAGTTTGTAAACTTAAGGGAAATCGTAACCAAAGAGAGCATTTTGTTTCCTGTCTTTGGTGCCTTGTGTTTTTGCCTACACATTTACATCTATTTTTGTAAGAAAATTATAGGAGAACTTTAGAATTTTCAAACATTTATGGAAACTGCATTTCTTCAGTATGGACAAAAGGCTGAATTTTAAACATTTTTTATAAAAGCTGTTTTGTCAAGGGACAATTGAGTTATTTACAAGGAAAGCAAAAATGTATGATATAATCAATGCCTTAAGTGTAAACAAAGTGGAGTTAATATTGATTCTGTATCATTATATATATTTTTAATTAACTAAAAGACCCAGGGGAGGAAAGCTTATTTTCTTAAATGTCTTGATAAAGCAAATGAGTGAAGTTTTTTGTTTCCCCCCCTCACTATACTACTCTGAAGTAGTGTAGCTTTCCAGCAATAACTTTAAAGTAAGGATTCTGTAAAAGTGATGTTAAAGATTTCACTTGTCAAAGAAGTTGTCATAAATGTAAGAAGTTTTAAGACTATTTTGTGTATATTACAGATGAGACTCTCTTGGGTGTCTATAAAATGTGACATAATCTTAGTTTTCCACGTTGGCTGTCTGAAACTCATAGAGGTTAATGGACTAAGATATTGGACTATTTAAGATATGGTAGAATTTTTCATGAGATCACAGTATCTTCCTCAGATTTCCCCCTTATACCCACTGTGGAAATACTACATATTCTGAAAGCCCATTAGGTAGAGTGAAAAACATCCAGAGAATTTTTTATATCATTTTTTTGTATTTTTATGACTCAAGAGCGTATCAGAGTTTATTCTCAATGGACATTTTCAGAAAACTTGCTAAGGGAATAGGAAAGTTTTGTTGAATTGCATCAGGATGTGTCTTCACAGTGCCAAACATGAGAACAATGCAGACTCTGACCTCCGTCTCTCTCAGTGCCGCCAATGTCTTAAGCTCTTTGGATCCTAGAAGACATGATCCACAGATCTCCACGAAGTGCTGGCCTTGAGTTGCACCTGGCTTTCAAGAACATTCTGCAAGTTGCTAATAAAATACACACGTTGCCTTAGATAGTGAAAAGCAGTAAAAATAAAAGGCATGGATACTTATGTTTTGTTAGGTGAGGGTGAGTAGTAACGAAGTGCCGTTACATACCCCAGAGTTACCATGAAGCCTTCCTGTGCCCATCTTCTCGGTTACACGTAACATGTGGCTCTTTGTTGTTTTGCAGAAGGCGGAAGAGAATGCAGAGGGAGGAGAGTCTGCCCTGGGACCAGACGGAGAGGTAAGGGATTTTGCAGCCACTTCTACTGCATTCTGCTCAGCGAGCCCCTGCTATACCTTGCCGTACATATCATTCCATGTATACTAATTCTATTTTTACTCAGCTGTGCATCTTTAAGTACAAAGATTAATACATTAGCATAATATAAAAGGGATACACTGAAAAGTAATCTACTTCCTTCTCAGACTGCCAATCAGCTGATACTAAGTTTCTTGTGTGCCATTGGGAAATTTTCTGTGCACAGATAGGCATATGTTTAGGACTATGTAGAATGTGTAAAAATCTTAAATGATCCTATAATTACATTTGCCCACTAAATGATACAGAAGCCTAGCTGTGACCCAGTTTCCTTAGTTTATTACTAATTTGAAATTATAAAACTCCATAAGCCAAACAGTTTACATATTTGGCTAACTTATTTTTTGACATCTTCTATTGGCTTAACAATGTGGCTTCTATTTGTCAATTCATCAGTATATTCCTAAATTCCATATTCTAGTATTTCCAATAGTCTCCTGAATCGTGAGAATACAATTATTCATTTATTGGATTTTTTTTTTCTTCTGAAAACTCCTAAGTTCCCTGCCAGTGATTCACATTGAGGGGTCATCCTCCTGAGCAGGATGGGGAGGGAGCTTGCTTCAAGCCGCCTGCTCCGCTCACAGATTCGGATAAACCTGCTTGGAGGTTTGGGGTGGGTGGAGGGGTTGCCTCTTCCTGTTCTAGAATCACTGTGCATGTGAGGTGTACTGTGAATGCCAACAGCCTGGATGCCAAAGGAAGGTTGAAACCACTAGTCTATGCAGAAACCCCTTGAACAGTAAATGTTGCTTAACCAGTGTAATCCATCACAAAGAGAGAAAGGATTGGGATAAATGTTTAAGGTGTAAGAAACTCTCAGTGGGATGTTAAGAGGGGAGAATACTATATATTAGAGCACTTAGAAACACTCTAATTTGTAGAAGCCCAGCCTGACCTAAGCAGTCTCACATCAGTTTGTAATTAACAAGCACGGGGGTCGGGGGGCGGTTAACAGGTTACTGTGAGAGAGCTTTATCTCTTATTATCTCTTGGGAAAACTGCCTACTGATCTAGGGCCTGTGACTCACACTTTTTTTTCCCTTTACATCTTAGCACATGTGTGTGCTGTCTGCTGAAGTTGGCCAAGTGGACATCTTGCTCAGCTTGCTATGAAATAATTTTCCTATTACACTGCTGTGCTCAGTGCTGCTGCCAAAGTTTTCATTCCAGCTACAGTGAATACCAATTTTCTCTGAGGCGTGACACCTAAAGCAATGAAATAAGCTGTGTCATAATAGTTCAAGATCATGGAGTATGATTTTTCCACGGGAGGTGGTAGGGAGCGGTGGATTTCCTTCTTTATTGCATGAGCATACAGGTGACCTTTTACGTTAATGAGGGAGAAACGTCATCTTGGCCTGCAAAGGAATGGTGTTCACAGCCACTGCTTTAGCACATGTACAAGAAAAAAACAACAGTCTAGAGTAAGGCTCTTTTTTTCAAAGGTTGTTTTTGTGGATAATTGCTAATATATTGTTCCTTATTCTGACAGCATTTTTTGGGGGGGAGAACCAATTTAGGGGGCGTTCATTTTCTGTTAGATACAGACAGTAACCTACAGTATACTGTTTTTCCTGTCATTTTTATTTAACTCCAAAAAAGAATAATTTAGAAAAATTTTTTAGAATTAAGGAGTAGTCTAAACATTGGATTTTATTACTTTTACGGAGATAGATAACTTGAAGGACTCACAAATCAAGCATTTCCAAGCAAGCATCTTGCCTGGGGGTCTGCTCCTGGAAGTACAGTTGCCCTCTAATCAGCAGCATTCATTTGCATAGGATTACTCCAGTTTTAGGCCTTTGAAACAGTTTATTCTCTGAAGTAGGTTAAACACAGCCTCTGCAATATCATTTATTCTCTTAATTTTCTGAGCAAGCCATTTTTCATTGAGAGTCTAATAATGAACGTTAGCTCAGTCTAGGTCTATTCTTCAGATTTCAGATAAGCAAAGCTATTTGCTTTATCACACTCCCAGGTACCAATGGTTGGCCTGGTTACCTGGTGGTTTGGTTTTGGATAAAGGACACTGGTTCTGCTAAACCAAACGAGCCAGTAATGAGATGACTCAAGTTACATACTTTTTTCTTTTCCCATTCTCTCCGAAACCATAAGTTTGCAGTAGTCATGATGTGGGGGATATTTTCAGGGGGTTGAGGTTCTGATTTGCAAATGACAAAAATCAGCTCTGCCTGATTTGAGTCACAAGGGAATGTATTAATGGTATATTGGGTAATTCATCGGATCTCCAGGAAGCCTGGAGAACCAGACTTGAGGCTACACCTGATATTATACATACAAGGATCAGTGAGGATGTGGCTGACACTGGGAGCAGGCAGGAGCTTGGCATGGCCAGGACCGCTGTACTGGCTCTGCTGCCGCTGGGGTCCGCCCTCCCACCAGTGTACCTGGCCCTACTACCTTGAACTTCTAGCTCCTAGTTCAGAGGCTTGGTGAGTGCAGCCATCTGGGGGAGCTGAGGTCTTGTGCTGGTGACATTTCCAATAACAGAAAAATGTTTCAAGGGCCGGCCGCCAAAAGGCTAAGACATGTTCTGCACAGAACTGGGAGAACATCATAACACCAAGTGGTGATGTGGTTTTTTCTCTCCTTTCTAGCCCATAGATGAGAGCAGTCAGATGAGTGACCTTCCTGTCAAAGTAACTCACACAGAAACCGGCAAGGTCCTATTTGGACCAGAAGCACCCAAAGCAAGTCAGTTGGATGCCTGGTTGGAAATGAATCCTGGGTAAGCATTAAAGCAGAATTATTGGTGTTCTTTGGCTTTTTAATTTTTGTGGTCCTTGTAAAACCGTGGACTTAAAACAACACAAGCTTTGCTGAGATGGTTAAAATTGGTACCCCCATTTGTCACTTGCACACTGAACATGCTAGTCAAGTCATACATGCATATATTGTCTTGCAGTTTAAAGAACTAAGCCCTCTCTTCTTCCCCACTCCTTTTCCTGTAGTTACGAAGTTGCCCCCAGGTCCGACAGTGAAGAGAGCGATTCTGATTATGAGGAAGAGGTATGTATGTGTCTCTGTTTGAGTTCATGGGTCTGAAAGTTTATGAGGGAAGCACCTGTGTCCTTCTGTACTTCTCCTTCCAGTGTTGACCTTTAGGTGATTACTGGGGCTGAGGTTTTGCCAGAGCTCTGATGGGACACGCCTAGCCGTGCAGTGACCTCTTGGGGACTCCTGAGCAATGGGGAGACTTGGTGAATTCTGAATTCATTTGGAACCTAGAAAGAGAAGCTGGCATTAAATCAGAAGTGGTGGAAAGGTCTTTTGGGAAGAACTGAAGATGGAGCACTTTGGGCAAGACAGTCCCATGCCTCCAAGTGGTTCACACTGAGGGTTTGCTGCCTAAAAATTTCTGAAGTCCTTTGGACCTTAGAGTCTATTTGAAATGGAAAGCCTGGGAACTTAAATGAAAAGGGCAACCTAGGCTTGATTTAATGAGTTTATTGATCCTCTTAGTTTCCCTTTAACTGTGATTCTTGTTTGAATTCCTTGGATATACTTGGATATATTGTTGTGTGCAGTCACTGAATGTGGTTTTTGCCTGTATAGAGGAATATTGGTTCTGAGTGCCATGGCATAGGTGCCACGGAGTGGGCAAAGCTGCCTTACCGATAATAGCACACTAGGATTTTAAGACAATTGTTGTTTCCTCCTATTGTGTGGACCTGTGTTTTCTAAATTAATCTCCTATGGGCACTTTGCAAAGAGGAAAAATAAAAGTTATATTTTTAAAAGAGGATCCTCTTAAAAAGCAAGTATTTTTTAGAGCCATGCTGTATTTTTATAGGCTACTCTTTCTCTGAGATATTTGAAGCTTACAAAATCAACTTTAAAAATATTTCTTGTTGACTCAGATGAATGGGCCCATAAATGATCCGTTGGAAGAGTCTCCTCGTTAAGGGACAGAGAGGAGATAACCCGAGACTGACAACTGCAGGCAGCTCTGATAGCCAGGAATAGAATGAAGCTGACATCTGGGGTCTGCCACCCATTTGTGGCAAGTCCCTTCCTCTCTCAGCGCTTCCTTTTTAACCTGGAAAATGAAGGAGCTGTGCTGGTTCTTTAGTTTACCCCTGTGTCTCAATGATCTTACCATAGACTTGATTTTCAGCATTAATATTGTGTCACTTTGTATTGTTTCATTCAAGAATTATGGGAAAGCATCGTTCTCTTTAAATCTACTTTTAAAGGAATTCTATTAGATTATCTGGAAAGATTTAGCCTTCAACCACAGTGCTTAGTGGTGGCATAGTGAATATTCAGCGATGCTTTCAAACAGTCCAGCAGATCGTAGTACACAGTGGAGAGGTGGGAGGTAATGACCCTTTGCCGAGTATCGGCAGTTTTCATCAGAATATTCAGAAACTCCTGGTGTGAAGTTCCCCTGGAACCCTCGTGTTTGCAAGCCCCAGCCCCGTACTCAGAGTCGTGGGGCCGTGAAAGGCCACTGGCCTTATCAGAGAATGTCCTGTGAGTAGGACAAGATGACCATCTCAGAGCCTGGCTTCAGAAGGAAGGATGCAGAGTGCTGCTAAGTAAGGGACAGTCATGTTATCTGCAGGACTCTGATAACCAAGCAGTGATACGCGCCCCTCTCTCTGTGTGATCTTTGCGTTTTTGTTCTTAGGAGCGGAGGGGGTAGGGGCCTCAGAGGGCTCCTTCTGTCCCTCACCTGGCCGGGTGGACGCAGTGCAGCGGTGTGTGCTACCTGGGGCTGCTCTTGACTTCATCTGCGAAGTTGATCACTGTTAACCCCTCGTTGGAAAGGGCCCACCATAGATTCCCTTGTTAGAGCGGGATCTTTGTTTCTGCCCCAGGATGAGGAAGAGGAGTCCAGTCGGCAGGAAACTGAAGAGAAGATACTGCTGGACCCCAACAGCGAGGACGTTTCCGAGAAGGACGCCAAGCAGATCATTGAGTGGGTATCTCTCCAGTGTTTTCTTCCCTGCAGATGCATTTTGTGACGTAAATGAGGCTTTAGCGATTTTCTTTTAGAGTATTTTAAGGAAGGAAGCCGACTTCGTGGCCACACGCCACTTAAGTGGCTGCCATCAGAAGTGGCCGCTGAGCTCCAGGCCACCAAGCCCCAGGGCTTCGGGTTGCCCCTCTCGCCCCCTGCCCTCTTCTCCCTCCCCAATCCCCGGCTTCAGCTCCTGCTCACTCCCGGGCTCCTCACCCGTCACCTGCACTCCACCCCAGACCGAACTGATCAAACTTGCCCCTTTAGCTGGCTGCTTCACTGCCCTTCCTTCCTTCCTCAGTGGCATCAGCACTCACCCAGAAACCCAAGTGAGAACCACCATTCCCTCCCCTGTCCTCTTTGCCAAGCCAGTCAGCCACCAAATCCTGCCTGGAAACACCCCAGCACCCTTGGACCCCTCTCCTTCCCCCACCTACATGCCTAGCTCCGTGCCGCACCCGGGTCGTCCTCTGTATCCATGGTCTACTCAGCTCTTTGTGTGTATGGCTCTAACATTAAAAGGAAATTATTGTGAAACAGTATGCAAAATAGAACATTATAAAGCGATGAAATTTAAAAGAAAAAAACAGAAATAGACATTCTAACCTTTTCTCCTTTAATTGCAGGGCTGTATGCCCTACTTTAGGGACCTCTATTTTATCAGTCTGCCCCCCTCCACCCGAGAAGAACCCCTCAGGACTCCTCATTGCCTGTAGAATAAAACACCAGCTCCTTAACCTGGCATAGAGAATGGAAAACTACCTTTCCACTTTCCTGTCTGTTATGTCAGCTTCAGCCCTCTCTCACCTGTCCTCCAAGATTTAGACAGTGTTCTGTGAGTAGGGCTTATCTTTGCACCCCAAGAGCCGAGGACAGCTTCGTAGGCAAAGTGTTAATCTGCAGGTACGGTTCGTGTTCGTATCATTCATTTGAGGCACGCGGGCCTGCGTTCAGATTCTGACGCCGCTAATTTTACGTGGCAGGTAAATTCACTAACCTCTCTGAGCCTGAGGTTCTCCACATGCATAAAATGGGGATGTGAAAATAATACTGTCTGCCTTGCTTAGTTTTTGTGAGGATTACAGATAATGTATTTTAATTGCCAGGCAATTATATAGTAGGTAATAAATAAACCGTACTACTGCAGCTATTTTAGGCTTTCCATTCATCTTTTCGAATGGAATGAAATAAAAACACGTGCACCAGAATGTCTGTGCGTGATCCTCCGCTTTCTGTGCCTCAGGACAGCTAAGCAAGACGTGGACGATGAATACAGCATGCAGTGCAGTGCCAGAGGCTCCCAGTCCTACTACACAGTGGCTCATGCCATCTCCGAGAGGGTGGAGAAGCAGTCTGCCCTCCTCATCAACGGGACCCTGAAGCACTATCAGGTGATTGCTATGGTTTGTGTTTCCTTGGCAAGTCGCAAGCTTCTACCTGCTTTTTACTGAAGTAAGTCTCACGCACGTGTCGACTGCTTAAGAGGTTTGATGATGGTGAGGCATTTTAAGTCACCCTGCTTATAATATTGGCATTCTCTCCATTGCGCCTAGAATCCTGCCTTTAGAGCACTTCCATTTTTCCACAAAGTGTGTTCCTTGGAACTTTTTGTCCCAAAAAGAAAAAGAAATACAGGTTCCGTGGTCAAATAAATACAGGAAATACAATCAGCTATAACTGGAATTACCACATAATTTACTGTTTCAAACTTGGATACTAATGAGAGTGAATAGGGGCCCTTATTATTAATAGGCATAACCCAGGACTGTCCTGAGCCACCCAGCCATCTGGGCATCCTGACAGTGACCCCTCTTGGTAGTCCACGACATACATCAGCACATCCATGACTCTACAGATATAATTGTGCCATCCATAATTGTACATCAGTGTCTGCAATAAAATAATTTAACTTTCTAGTTCCCAAATTTCTTTGACTACCCAGCCTTATTTTCATATATCACCTGTTAAGATCTTGTAAAACTAGCATCTTTTAGAATATTCTTTAGGAGCTACATGCTTTAGGCCAACCATTCTCAAACTTTTTGGACCCAACCCTGTATTTGCTGCTGTGGCCTGGAGATGAAGCATGCATTGACCACCACAGTATTGCCTTGGCTCCTGCTAAAGGGCCTGCAGTTCTTACCCACTGTTGCTTTTGCAAACATCAGCACAATATAAAGGTAAATAATGCCCTGAAGTTATTGTGAACATTGTTGGACCTTGTGGGTCTCCTGAGATGGTCTGGGACACCCAGGAGTCTCTGAAGCACACTTTGACAACCACTGTTCTGTCCATAGTGAGGTCATGTTTTCTCCACAGACCATGCTACTTTTATGAGATTCAAAGTGGTCATCATTTTACTTGGTCTGCTCAGCATAGATGTGAATTCATAGTATGTTCTAATAGACTTTTACGTGCCTGTGTCTGAGAGATGCATTCTCTGGGTTATTCATAAATAACTTAATGGCACAGTGATTTCTCCTGCCATCCAACACCTTTTTCAGCACTCTCCAACACTGTCTTTTCAAACCTATCTTCCCTGCTTTTCTATGTGAACTGTATGCCCTTCTCCCTGCACTGGGCTGCTGTAGATCCCAGGATGGGCCTTCCTCTGTCCCCCTCTGGGTTTTTGTCTCATGAAGTTCCTTTTGCCTGATGAGATCCTGTCTGTTTCTCACAAACCAATTCAAAGCATAGCTCCAAGCCTTTCTGGACCACTCTGTCCCCAAGTGAGCTTTCTGTCTGATTGCTCCTTGACACATTTTTGTATCATTAATAGTTATTTAACCCTCACATAGCTGAGGCCATCCTGCTGCTTCCTGGAAAGCCTTGTAAATTTAGTTCAGTACCCAACCCCTCCAATTTGACGGTCTAGGAAAGTACAATTCATTTCCTGCAATTTTAGTGAATTTCTAGTCCCTTCTGCTGCCAGTTTCTGCTTCTGTTTTATCTGGGATTAACACAGATGCAAAATTCAGCCCCTTTGCCAATTTTCATTTAAAAAAAGAATTCACCACCTCCCAGTGTCCAAATGTTCCTGGCATTTAGTTGACTTTCCTGAGAGTCTGGAGGTCTTGGCGTCATGTTGGAAGCACACAGCTCCTCCGGACCACCAATTGTGGTTCCTAGTCATTTCCTCACTTACCCTCTCTATCTTTCGCCCATTTTCTCAAAGGCTCTTCCTATTTTCCTTCTATCTCTTGGTGTTGCTGTTGTTCTGCGAACGAAACCCTTTAGGAATCTTGCATGGCACAGGGTACTCCAGGTGGCACGTGAAAGTATTTCTTCAAACCACTGCAGTGCTCTCCCCGGGAAAAAGCCCAGCCAATGCCATTTTATATGTATGGCACTGACACCCCAACCATTCGTTTCATGGTGCCTGTGTATATGTGAATGGTTTATTGTCTCCTCTTTGACTGAAAGCTCCTGAAGGGAGGCATGCATCTTACATACCGAGGGATCCACCTGCCATCGCTCCTTTCATGGTTCATTGCACAGAATAATCATTTAATACAGTTTAAAATAAATGACTTACTTTTTTCTTATATAAAACATATTAAAATTAACATTTCCCTAAGCATAGCTTCATTAGCAAGCTAAATTGACTGCAGCTAATATAGATACAGATATCGATATAGATATATATATAGATATAGATATATAAAGATATAGATAGCAGTATCTATATCTTTCCATCTATCTACCTATTATCTATCTATCTATTTATCTATTTATCTATTTATCTATCTATTTATCATCATTGATCCTACTTTTTAAGTCCAGCATCTGTGGTATGATGGTAGAAGGGTGGTTGGGAGAGGGAGGTTGAATGATTTTGTATTATCTCTTGACCTTTCTTGTACTGGACAGACTCGGGGACTGCAAAGCTGCATCTCAGTGCAGAGTATTTGTACTTTACAGATATGTGGAACACACGTATTTTCTAGGTTGCCCTTGGGGAGTGCCCACCTGGCAAAGTTCTCACCTACTGCCTGGAAGGTTTGTCCCCACCAGGAAGCACCCTCCTGTGGGCCCAACAGCCAGCCCCTGGCTCCCTGGACACCCAGCTTCCTCACTGAGAGGATCTCACCCTAAAGGGAGTCTCTTCTTAGCCAAGAAGGTTATTTCTAACTATCTGTGATCTATGAGCCAAAACCTGCCTTCCGGTTTGTTTGTCTTTAATCCTCACATTGGCTTTTTGTTCTCGGAGTGGTTGGAATGGCTTTTGCTTTGGGTTTTCTTCATTTATAGTAATTCTAGAATGTCATATACTGTGAAATGCTAAGTAGGGATGAGCAGCGAAGCTGCTTAAAATCCCACCAGTCCGCTCCAGCCCGTCGTTTCTAAATCTGATTAACACTCGGCACCTGCCAAGCAGCAGGCATGATTACAGGCTCATATTTTAAATTCTTTTTGTGCTGGTGCTCCCCTCACTTGCCTACCGTGGGAAATCCAACATACAGCACAGAGGAGTTAAGAAGTCACAGCCTCACTTGAGTTGTATTAGTATTAATTACCTGTGCAGATCTCGGATAATTGAAACAATTACTCTTCATTTCAGCTCCAGGGCCTGGAATGGATGGTTTCCCTGTATAATAACAATTTGAACGGGATCTTAGCTGACGAAATGGGGCTGGGAAAGACCATACAGACCATTGCGCTCATCACTTACCTGATGGAGCACAAAAGACTCAACGGCCCCTATCTCATCATTGTCCCCCTTTCGTGAGTAAAGCCATTTGTTCTGCAGTTATCTTCCTGCGTGTTGCAGGGTGCCCTAATAGGAGCTCGGTTCTGTTTTGCATTGAAGGCAGAATTATAGCAGGTGCTGGGGTACCCGGGAGCGTATAATCTGGATTTAGGTTTTTATTTCCCACCCCCACTCCCAGCCTTTGCGGCTGTTTAAGTGAAGGACAAGGCGATTTTATCAGCGGTCTACTCGCGTTGTGGCCGACACCATACAGGGGGCCTTATTCTTCAGCCACTCCTTCAGCCGCTCCCAAAGGGGGAAGGTGTTTTGATTTTTTTTTTTTTTTTTAATTTTTTTGATTTTTTTTTTTCCCTCTTGTTCCATTTCCAAAAGATTACATCTAGTCAAAAGACTGCGGCGTTCTGAAATCTTTCTTTATTGTATCTTCTAAAGCTGAGTCTAAGTTGTAATTTTAACTGAGAATTTTAGTTGAACTGCCCCCGGTATGTGTAATTCATTTGCAGCGATTTCGCAAGGACAGGTCTTCGCTGTGTGCCATGAAACTGCCAGGCCTTGCCCACCGCGTGGCTCCTTGCAGGCCTCAGTGCACATGCCTGAGAGAAGGAAGACCTGTTTGCAGCCGCCCCCTGCAGTGGAGGGTCTCTGGCTGTGGGTGTCTGGTTGCATTTTTAAGCACTGAGATCTTAGATCTCAGAGCTGATACAAAACTGGACCTTGAGAAAAAAATAAAGATTCCATTTTGGTATTTTTGTTTTTTATCTATATTTTACATGTTCTGACTTGTATATTATGGTGACGCTTTCAGGGATTTAAAAAAAAGAGGCATTCACTATTTCTTCCCCTGCTCCCTCTTGACAGATTTATTTAATATTTTCACGGGCTTTTGTAATTTCTTTTTCCTGACTCAACTTTTCGCTGAACGCATGTGGCTTTCTAAAGACTCACCAAATCACTTTGGCAATTGCTATTTTTCAACATCATATTAAAATTTAGGGGCTTTTTTGCCCTCTATAGTTATGTATTCTTTAATTTTTTTTTATGTGATTTTTTTATGAGCCCACAACAAACTTGTCATGCTTTGTGGCAGCTTATTCCTAACTTATCTCTTATTTCCACACCTTTAAAATAAATACATACTCAAGATATTTTATAGTCTCTAGTCCCTTTCAAGGTGAGGCCTAAAAATAAATAAGAACATCTTTTTCACCGCTGACTTTTATACAAATGTCCTTTTTTTGTTCTACAGGACTCTATCTAACTGGACATATGAATTTGACAAATGGGCTCCTTCTGTGGTGAAAATTTCTTACAAGGTTTGGAATGCTGTATTTATATATAAATGTGGAAAAGCAAAAAATAGACCCCATTTTCTTTATTCCATATGCACATCTGTGCACTGTATTTGGTTGTAAAGTTTTGTCATGTACATCATGTACTAAACAGTGAGAGTTAATCATCCCAAGAAGATTACTGTAATAAACCATAATTACTTTCAGATAGTGAAATGCAGAAGAAAATTGTTAATTATCATATTGCGAGGTTTCTGATGAGAGTAATACAAATGACAAATATCGCACATTCTTCGTGCTGCTGACTGGCTCACTGTTCCTGCAGAAAGTTAGGCAATTACCCGCGTGCCCGGGCCGCCTGCTATAGGCTCCCATAGAAAAGGAGCCTTTCATTAGAGCAGCGGGTTCTCTGCTACCTTGAGGTCACTGTAATTTCCTTTTCTTTCTTTCCCCTGAGTTTTCAGTGGGAAGGCCTCTCTCTAAGAGTCTGCAAAGTGTCCAGACCAGTGCGATTTCGCTGAGCACTTTCTTTATGGATAATGCATCTGTATATAATAATGCATATATGTGCAATCTTTAGTCACAGGTCTGGGCTCCATTAAGCTCTGAATAGTGAGAAATGACACACATGTACTTCCATTGGGTAATATATATGTGGATTTTTTTCCTTTCTACTCAGGGCACCCCTGCCATGCGTCGCTCCCTTGTCCCCCAGCTACGGAGTGGCAAATTCAATGTCCTCTTGACTACTTATGAATACATTATAAAAGACAAGCACATTCTTGCAAAGGTATGTTTTAAAAATTTTTTTATAAAGTATTCCCTAAATTATACTCACTAGTATAATTTGATCATTAAATGGCTTCTATCTATCTCTTTTTCTTTTTTTTTGAGTCATATATATTTTGATCATGGGTTTTAATTTTATGCTTACTATTTTTTTTTTCATGTATGCCATTGATCCTGGGGCTCTTACCTATCCTCTCATAGTTAATGAGTTTACATCTCTTTAAAAAGTTCACCTGAGTTTCTTCTGCAACTCCTTTTTTTCTCTCCAACAGCCCTGAACGTACTTGTGGAAGAAATAACTGTTTCTGTTTCCCTGGGTTATTGTCAGTAGCGTAGCTTCATTCCTCTTGTGCCTTTGTCTCTCCAAAGACAAGTAGGCACCTCTCCATATGGTCTTCTCCACATGAACATTTCTCTGAGCTGTTGGTTTTCCTGCTATCCCTCTTTTGGGTTTTTTTCCTGGTAAAAATATGGGCTATTATTGTTTGAATTACTCTGGGCTGACTACTCAGAGCTGGGAAAGAGTGGTTTTCTACTTGTAACCTACATGTCTCCTAATTTGTATGTCCCTAACTTTTCCTTTAGCCATAAAATATAATTTTTTTCCATTAATATCATCTTGCCTCCTAATATGTTCATGTAGAATGCTAGAAGTAGTTTCTTTCATGGAGCAAATATGAAGACTTAATTTTTATTTTATTTTTTTTAGTAATTTCTTTTGCCCTGTGATATTTTGAAAGCACTATAATCTGAAACTAAGTTATAGCCGGAATTGAACAAAATCCCCATTTTCTGGGGTTTGTTCCATCACTGCACTAAACCTTTGCTCTGGGAACTGAGCGTTCCCTTCATGGCATCACAGGAAATAACATAAAGGAAATGTGGTCCCAGGGGAGGTTTCATCACTGAGCTGGCACCGGCAACAATTCCTCATATTCAGAGATGAATTTGGCAGTGTCAGAAATGATGTGTTTTCAGTATTACTATGGGAGTATGTTTATACATTTGGAATCCTTGAAAACAAATTCATACTGTGTTTTCTGCTTATGTATTTCAAAATTCATTGGAGGCGCCTGTTAACGAGATGTATTGCTTTTATTTGTTGCTGGAGAAATGGAGATACAGAACGGGGCAGTAATTTTTTTCCAAGTGGAAGACCTAATTAGGAGTAGACCCAACAGCAAAACCTAAGGCCTCTGCTTCCTTTTTTATTATTCCATAAGCCAAATTGGGCAGGAAAGTAGATTTAGAATATTTATTAAAATATATTTTATCTGCTGGCCTCTTTTCATTCAGTTGTTAAGTTTGGGACAGCTGATTGTACCACTTTGGTTATTCTTAAACACTTCTCTTAGAGGAGGTAGAGGAAGAGAAAACACAAAAACCCTGGTAGTTTCTTTAACCTGAGCTTCCCAGCCCGACGGATGGTCTTACATCTTTGCCCCTGACTTTCCTGGTGCTTCTGATGAGGAAGGCCGGGGCTGTGCAGAATCCTTCCCTCGCCATCTCCCTCCTCTCTCTAAGAGCTGTGCAGCAGCATCCATGACATCTGAGCACCAGATGCTTTTCTTGGCCATCGCCCCTATTCTGTAGGGAATGGATAGGCTTAGTGGAACATTCCTCATTGTTCTCACTTTAAGAAATGGAGAACAGTGACCTCGAAGAGGGCTCAAGGGTAAAATATGAGAGGGGAAGGGGACTATTTGTAGACTTAGGAAGGAGGATTGTATCATATGGCCATTTACTTTTGAGGTGATGGTCATGTGGGGGGAGTATATTGTGTTTAATTCTGAAGGTTTGGCATAAACAGAGGGATGATATTTTAGCATTTTCCTCTCTGCCAGTGAGAATATCCTTTCATTTTCCATATCTTAAAGCAGGGATCCTAGACCTGGCAGTACTTGGCAGGTAAGGAATATGTGTGAACTGAGAGAGTCCAGGTTGCCAGATCTTCCAGTTTGTTTTTTTAAGGAAGCTTGATGTCCAGATTTTTATGTGAAATATACCAACTTTTAAATGTTAGCAACTAGTTCAAATTAAAAAATAAAGAACACTGAGCCAAGCCCAAAGGTAGTTAATAGTCAGCCAACGTAATAGAAAAGAAGGCACAAAGCCAGAGTATCTCAGCTATAGGTAATGTTGGAAAAATTGGCCACTGCTTCAGGTGGAGAGCTATATTCTGTACTTGCTAGGAGCAGAGAGAGCATGACCATTAAGTCTGGGATGGCAATCACATTACAGCGTTAACAGAAGGAGTGCTGGCTGCGGAGACACAGGCACCACTCCTAGCTTAACCATTTCATTCTGGGCCCAAGTTTCCTCCTTTTTAAAGGGTGATTTGGAATGACATGGCCCCTAAGGAATGTCATTGCTCTAACTTCATTATTACATGATGTAATATGATCCATCAGGCATGGGATATAGACTGTTGAGATTCTTTTATGCTAAGGAGAATCCCACCATATCTTGCACCAAGTATGCGTTCTTTGGTTTTCCAATTCACCACCTGCCTGTTGGAAATAGTTGTATTTTCCCTTGCTCACCACATGTCGGTCCATCTTATGTTACAGATTCGGTGGAAGTACATGATTGTGGATGAAGGCCACCGGATGAAGAATCACCACTGCAAGCTGACTCAGGTCTTGAACACTCACTATGTGGCCCCCAGAAGGATCCTGTTGACTGGGACCCCACTGCAGAATAAGCTCCCAGAGCTCTGGGCTCTCCTCAACTTCCTCCTCCCGACAATTTTTAAGAGCTGCAGCACATTTGAACAGTGGTTTAATGCCCCGTTTGCCATGACTGGAGAAAGGGTACTGGTCTCACTTCTGTTCTCCC